CCACTATGTTCCGAAAATAATTTTTAAAGCTGTAGTTTATCCCTCATGTCCGATCATCTGTTGGGGGTGCACTACTGAACAAACTTTTACACTTAACTGACTCCATATAGTTTTCAATAAGCGACATCAAAGAGCCTCATCTCCGACATGCTGGACCTCCCTCAACCGAGGAAACTTAGGACGTAGACTATATATCTGAAAATTATGAAATCCTCTTATTTGATGTTGTTCTGTCTCTAGTATCGACTCCACAAACTCATGGCTCTCTTGGACATCTAATAATAGGTTCTGTTGATGCTCTTCTCAATGCCTGCCAAAAGGTAGTTCGATACACCACATCTCATACTCCGCTTGAATGCTTATTACCTCGAAGTTACTTCCTTCTAGAACAATTACCATTAACTCAGCTGAAATCTCTCTTCTGGACTCAATTGGAATCAATGACATCTTTTCCTTGTTAACTGGAAGTTGGGAATCCTTTTTGAAGTCTTCATCTTCTCCTGGATCACCGTTTATTTCTTCAACTGCTCTTTGATCAGTGAAAGAGTTCATTATTCTAGTTGTACAATTTGTTTCACTATGCCCAAACCTGTGACACTAGAAATACTTCCCACACGTCGACCTCATTCATCGAAGCTTTTGTGTTCACGTTGTTAAATTGTAGCTTACAACTAACACAACAATCCAAATCAAATTAGGGTGGATCTCAGGGTGATAGTGGTGATCAACGAGGGGTTGGAAGGTGTTAGGGTGGTGGAAGAGATGGTCAACAAGTAGAAAATATCTAGGTAGCGGTTCCTCAGATTCCAGACAACAAACATGCATTAGTTAACAATGTGGAACAACTGTCTTGGATGATGACTATAGGTGGGAAGGGATAGGGCGCATGTTTTTGAGATGACGTGTGGGAAGGGAAGGATTGATGGCTGAGGAGGCTTGAATAGCGGTACTGTTACAACGTGTACGACAGTGGTCGTTGGAACAACCACAAGGCTGCAGGAAAAAGGGATCTGGATGGATGGAACAATGGGAAGACAACCTGGGATGATGGTGGCAGCGATGGGGGATGCATGACAACAAGAGGATAGTTATTCGAGGCAGTCACAACGAAGAAAAATGTCTGGAATTGAAAAAAACTGCAATGAAATCAGCGGCGGTGGCTGCAACAGTGGAGGACAATTGGGAGTGACGTGGAGAGCATATGGAAGGGGATAGGGAAGATAATCACCACATTGAGGGAGAGAAACAGCTAGAGCACCACCCAAACCCTCAAATACAACCCTCATAGGGAGAAACGAACGCCGACGATTGTCCAAAATAAAACTAACGAAAACTAACTCTAGACTCCTACAAAAAATAAATTTATGATAATAGGACAACTAGGAGTGGCCCAAGAGGACCTGCCAGCTCATCAACAGGGATCCAACCTGGTCCGGTTCGATCCAGGAGTGCTAGCTGGGTCACGGATTTGTTCGCGGAACTCACACGTCGAAGAGCTATAGGACCGCTCCCGTTGTTGTTTGGTAAATCCTGGTATCATAGAAGGGTTTTGCCTCCACTTTATTCTCTTCACTCATAGGATAGCTTAATAAAATAATTGTATCTAATCATTAATATATTGCTTTCTTAAATTGGATTGGAGGATGGGGATAATTGGTGGTTGGCTTTCTAAGTAGCACTTTTCCAGTTCACCTACATGTTAGAGATCTTAAAGGCATCTTTAATGACATGAAACAAAACTGTAGAGTCAGATCAGGTTCCATGCATGATATAACAATCATATTTCACATTCCTATTCATTGAATGTCATAAATCAATTTCATTCTAGTTACGTTGGTCGGCTGCACACTTTTTCATACCAAACATAAACTTGTCAGTCAGCTTAGAGTATTGTAAATTAAACCAAAATCTGGTCGGAACTCGTTGGCCTTACCCAAAACTAGTGAAAAATCTCACGAAACCATCGAAACTAAATAGCCATACCCAAAACTGGTCAACAATCTCACGAAGAACCAGAAAATTATGTAGTTTTAGGTTTCTAAATTTTCTCAGTAATATTGTATCCCATTGATGAAGTGATAAGGATTCTATTTTCTTATTTTCATCTCAACTGTCCATTTAACCTGTTGTTTGATCTAGAATGGTCAAAGGCCCAAAGAACTTTGACTATGGATGTTTTTTTTTATAACAAAGTGCTTGTTTTATTAAGCCAAAAGTCTCATTTTTGTTGGGTCATGCCAAAAATGCGCGTTGGGTTGAGGATTTGATGTTTAAGTGCATTGATATGAAGTAATTGCAATTTGCACATCGGTTGATTGAAGTCATAGAATCGGTAAGGAAACAATTGGTCCCACCTGAGCTAAAGTTTTGAATGGTTAATTGTGCTGTGGTTTGAGCTTTTCTATTCAACCAAACTGATTGATTTTTTTCTTGGGAGGTCATCGTACTTTCACCACATGGAGTTATTTCTTAATTATTTTAAACTTTCCAATTTTCTCATTCTCCAATTGAAGTTCCATGATGGCCCTCTCTTATGTTGTTTCATCTAAATGATCTACACTTTTATCCATATGACGCTGTGAATTGAGCCATTCCAACGCTTGTTTGATTGTTACTATTGTAACTAAGGACACGTTATCAGTTTATTCTTTAGATTTTGGATTGCTCTTTAAGATTGTACATTGCATTGTAGGTGAATATATCTGTGTGATCTAGCCAAGTTCCCATTGCTTCTTGAATATTCTGCCATAATTGTCGTGTTATCTGATCTAGCATTGGGTTTGTCAAATTGGAAGTAGGCGTACACTCTTCATTAGAGTACTACCTAAATCACATTATGAGATTATGATGATATATGCAATCCTACCTTGAGGTCAATAGATATATCAACCTACTTCTAGGTTAGAATAGGCAAGGTTTGCAAATATCGGCTCGGTTCTTGATAAACTTCATTACATATGCTAGCTGCTCCCACAATTAAAGTTTTTTGGTTTGGGCCATCTAAATGATTCTTCAAATTTCATTTTATCTTGTAAATTCTTAGAAAGGTGGTGTATCTCAAGCGATGAGCTTCTCAAAGTTTAGATTCCTTCAAATCTTCACCACTTAGCAAAACCTAAATGACTTGTGAATGTAATACATTGTTGTCCATGTTGAAATCTATTTGAATTTTTTCGTTTGCCTCTTCATTCTATTCAATTGATGCGGTTTTCCACTTGTGATTTGATATATAATTAGATTTCTTAAGGCATAAATGTAAAATGCTCTAAATAAATTATACACATAATTTTAACTTTTATTAAAATCATCAAAAGTCATTCCATTGTCTTCTACACATTAAACGGATTATTTTGATATAGAAGTATATGCTATTTTCAAAGCTGAGAAATTTATGGAATTAGTTTTTGTGTGAATAATTTCTTTCTAACAAAAAAAAAAAAGGGGGGGGGGGGGGGGGGGGGGTAAGGGGGAGGGATGAATGAGTAGATGGAAGTTAGTTGGGTAAGTAAATTCTGATTTTTCGTGTTTTCCTTCTGTTTAACAACTTCAATTCAAGGTAATTATGTGTTATGAGGAGAAAATAATTTGAGCTAAAAGTGTATTTTCATTTTAATTGATTTTAGAATTAAATTATGAGCTAGAAAATATTAAAAAATTTAATATTTGTAATTTTAGGTTTTTTCATGTAGCTGACCCCACTTAGTGAGATAAAAACTTTTTGTTGTTGTATGAAATAAAAGTTTTAGGGTGTTCACTTCGAGGTGATCAATTGTCAATTGGGCGAGATATGCAAATTCTATTACATGACGTAAATTTATTTAGTTTTTTTTTTTTTTTTGTATTTGCATTTATATATAAATTAGACTTAGGTATGCATGTGCAGCTTTCAGTCCATATGTGTAGATGATTGCACATAAATTTTAATGATACGTCAGAAAATTTTCATACGGCAGAAGGCATGTGTAGCTTACAATTCATGTGTAGATGATTGCACATAAATTTTAATGATTCATGATCTCCATTAAATAAATTATGATCATATATACATTTTATTAATTGGTGACACTTTATGTTGGCATTTAATATTTGTAAATTACTAATCAGGGGATGCGACATTAGACTAAGTCAGATTGGCACATTTTCGCTAATTTGACACAATCATCATGCCATTTAGTTGACACCGTGCCGTGCTGTGGGAGGATTTTCTATTGGGCATGTTGGCAACCACATTTGCTCTCCTTGGGTGGAGTGGTATCAGATGTACGTGTTGCAGTCCTTTTGTAGCTTAAGGAATCTACTCTATAAGTTGAGGCTTCTATTATAACTCATGCGGCTAGGAAAAAAAGAGAGAGAGTCACAAATGATTAGATCGCACTATCCTGAGGGATAATAGCAGTCCGCCTTTATGTTTCGGCATGAGACCCAACTTAAGAAAATACTTCCCAGAAAACTAAGATCATATAAATTCAAAAATATGAATTGAGACATATGCCTATTATGTTAGAAACCTTAAAAATATTGAATTTGTTCAATTATTAATTTTTTTTATTTGATTTTGTCTCATGAACTTGTAACTCTTGCATTTGATTCTCATCTCTTTCTACCCCTTCAAGATTCACGTCTAATACCTTTACAACATAGCTTTAAGACAACCTAAACGAAATTGTATCAATTACAACCGGTAGATATCAAATGTATCTTGTGTACTTGTGGGACAGGCCTTCATGTGATGATTCTAGAATTTCTTTATGAGAAGCAAGCTTTTAGACACCTTCTGCATGTGGTTGATAATTGGTACTGGCGTGATTATTCTAATTTTTTTGTAGCTTGCTTGCTGTATTTTCATATTATAAAAGATGCATTTTTATTGTAAATATTTTTCTTGCAGGCAGCCGATTGATAATTGGTACTGGCGTGATTATTCTAATTTTTTTGTAGCTTGCTTGCTGTATTTTCATATTATAAAAGATGCATTTTTATTGTAAATATTTTTCTTGCAGGCAGCCGAAAGCTATTTAATAGAGTTGTTTGAGGATGCAAATCTATGTGCCATTCATGCAAAACGTGTGACCCTAAGTAAGTTAATTAAGAGGTTATCCCATTAATGTGGATTTTCTAATAATTTATCTTCTTTATAATCGTCTATTTATTACCTAGCATATGCGGCTTTTCTTTTTCAGAAATCGCTATCTTGAATCTGATAAACTGGATGTATATAATATATCATAAATATCTGTCTATCTAGTCTACAAAAGTCGGTTTGGTTTGCTAACAATGGCACTCCCTTATTCTTCTAATTCGGTTTCTTCAATTTGTGTGTCTTTTCCCTCAAAACGGTTGTTGCTTTCTAGTTTTTGTTGATCTCCAAACATGCTCCACTTTGCGATATAACCAAACACATCAGTGTTGATCTCCTGACATGCTCCACTTTGCGATATAACCAAACACATCGAAGATTATTAAAATGATGGTTGATGGCTAATTGCTCCACTTTGCGATATAATTAAACACATCTAAGATTATTAAAATGATGTTTCTGGTTGATGGCTAATTGCTAAACATCACATAAATCAAGGTTGAGACACATCACATCAGATGGAGTAACTGATCATCTCTTGTCTTGTAAGATGGACTACATTGATGAATTTGAAATGCCAAAATTGCCTAAGGAAGATGTCCAATTTGTCCCCCGCTTTGCATATGGTAAAAAGATTAAAAATCAACTCAAATCTGCTTGAACTGCATTCTGTCACAAAATGTCTATACCATCATAATTAGGTTATCGAAAATCCTTGGGTAGTTTAAATCATGAACGCTAGGATCATTGAATGTGTGACATCACGGGAATAAAAATAAAGTTGTTTCAATCATCATTGAAACTGCTTAAACGATGTCCATTCATAAAACGTGTTGCATTAGTGCATTCTGGGTGTCAAATTTACTCAACAATGGGCCTTACATGATCGAAACAACCAAGTACCGTGAAAATGGCGGATTGTCGGCGTAATAATTGCGATTTGGGCTTGAATTGCCTTCATCACCATCAAAATTGTTTGAACAAGCTCAATTCGTAAAATGGACTGCACTAGCATGCCTTGATACCTATATTGTCTAATTCTTGCATGTGAACCGGCGACATGTATCTTAATGCGAGATGATGAAACATATTCCGAGGTGAACACAAAGGATGGCATACAAACATCAATTACTGTACACAAATCTCTATTTTTGATTTTCCTTTTTAATATCTGATATTAATATTAATGTTAATACCATTAAAAATTAAATCCTAAATCAAAATGTTTGATGGCTAATTGCTAAAACATCAAATAAATCAAGGTCGAGACACATCACATCAGATGGAGTAACTGATCATCGCTTGTCTTGTAAGATGGACTACATTGATGAATTTGAAATGCCAAAATTGCCCAAGAAAGATGTCCAATTTGTCCCACGCTTTGCATATAGTAAAAAGATGAAAAATCAACTCAAATCTGCTTGAACTGCATTCTGTCACAATGTCTATACCATCATAATTAGGATATCGAAAATTCTTGGGTAGTTTCTATCATGAACTCTAGGATCATTGAATGCGTGACATCACGGGAATAAAAATAAAGTTGTTTCAATCATCATTGAAACTGCTTAAACGATGTCCATTCATAAAACATGTTGACGGGAATAAAAATAAAGTTGTTTCAATCATCATTGAAACTGCTTAAACGATGTCCATCCATAAAACGTGTTGCATTAGTGCATTTTGAGTGTCAAATTTAGTTAACAATGGGCCTTACATGATTGAAGATTTTCGGCGTAATAATTGCGATTTCGGCTTGAATTGCCTTCATTACCATCAAAATTGTTTGAATAAGCTCAATTCGTAAAATGGACTGCACTAGCATGCCCTAGATATTGAAACTACCTAATGATACCTATATCGTCTAATTCTTGCATGTGAACCGGCGACATGTATCTTAATGCGAGATGATGAAACATATTCCGAGGTGAACACAAAGGATGTGAATAATCTCTATTTTTGATTGTCCTTTTTAATATCTGATATTAATATTGATGTTAATACCATTAAAAATTAAATCCTAAATCAAAGTTGTTTGGATGATAGCTTCGGCGTCAGCGCACCGTGATTGCAGAAAAAAAAGATGTTTGGATGCTGGCTTCATGGCCGCGCACCGCCGAAGCGCAAAATATCTGTGTAATATCTAAAAAAATTGATCCGAAACCCTTAACGTAAAACTCTCTTATCATCATATCGAGGGAGGAGGGTGCGAATTTTCATCCATAGTTTTATTCTCGATCTTTGCATGATATACATCTCTCTCTAAACTCTAGTATGTTTGATTTCTTCTTCTTTTTCCATTGAATTGCTTTGCATTCCACATATAATAATAATCTCCAAAATTACAGAAGTCATTGCCATTATTTTTTGCTGTTTTTCATATAACTCATGATTATCATTGATTTTACATCAACTACTAAAAATGTGCCTCTTGTCATAGTGCAAAAGGACTTGCATTTGGCACGGAGGATTGCAGGAAGGCGGCATTGGTGACATTTTCAAATTATTTAGAGAACCAAAACTATCGTTGTCGCTCGCTTTTAACATTTCGTATCTGGAGAACAAGCCTGCCAAATTTTTAGATTTCTCTAACGAAAACAGTTATACTTTCATTTTTTTGTAGTACCATTGATCAATAGTTTAGCGTTTTCTTTTGTAATTTTGGCATCCCATTTGAGTAGTATACCACTTCTAGTTGGTTGGATGTTGATTTTTCTCCTGCGGTTCGATTTGTAGAACACCTTTGTAAGCCCAATGTTACTTATTTTATTTGATAGATTAAGGCTAATTTCATTGAGTTTTTCTTTTGCTTCGTTTCATAGAAAAATTTTTGCGTACATCGTCCGGATGACGTAGCGCAGCATCCGGACAATGACGGCGATTTCCCGATCATTGCAGAGAGGGGAGAAAAAAAAAACTCCACGATCAAGTGTATTGCGGTTGTTGACCGTTTGGACACGTACCCAAATATCACTTATGTTTCATAAAATATGTTTTAATGAAATATTATTTTGTTACTAGTTTTTCATTTCCACATCCCGTTGTACCCAATCTGACGATTCTCTGTATATTTATTCATAGACAATCTAATATTGCGCTTCAATGTGCGGTTTAGGGCTGTCAATTTGGCTCGTTGTTCGTGAACTGCTTCAATGTGCGGTTGGTATTCAAGAGAAAATATTGCGTCTGGAGTACAACGAACATGATACAGTACAACGGCAGTCCGAGCCCCACTCCTTCCTGCTGTATCACCTCCGTTGTCCGGACATTACTCTACGTCCAGACTCCAAGCTAAAATTTTTTCTGATATTAAGACGCTCAGCTTGCCTTAAAAATAAAATAAAATCAATGCTCTATTTTTAGAAACATACATAATTTTCAAACCCATCAAATTTATGCTGTACATTTGTTATCAAAATATTAAATATTAATAAAGTTACTAAATATATCATAAATTGGCTCAGCTTAATCCCTGCGCCATTTCAACTTAGAATTTATCGCTCTTTATTAAAGTCAGAATCCGCTCAACCGAAAAATCATGTCCTTCAAACTTTTATCTATCACCGTAATTACCGCGTTGCGGCCATCATTTTCTCTCCGTAGCTTTCGCTGGCTGACATATTTTATTATACAAAATCCGCTCAACTCCGTGCCTGGGGCCCATACGCGGAAAGTCACGGTGCACTTTTTTCTTCAAACGTTTAATTAGGGCTGTCAATAGGGTTTGTTGTTTGCGAATAGCTCCTCTTAGGCTTGTTTAGAAGTTCGTGTTCAGCTCGTTCACTAAATTAACAAGTCGAACATGAATAACACGAATAAATATTTGTTCGTTTATGTTCGGTTCGTTTTGGCTCGAAATAATACTAATTAATTTTATATATATATATATATATATCTCGATGAGTGTGTGTGTGTGCTGCGTACCTCAGCTTGTTGGTTGGCATCCACAGTGTAAGACCCCTCAGATCGAAAAAAATATTGCATCAGGACTTCGCACGTAGAGCTGCATGTAGGGTCCAATGAAATCAGGTCATGTGGAGGTACTTTAAAAAAAAAATCGGTTCGGTAACACAGTATTCCCTCCATGTTATTCCGTATTATTCAGGTTTTATTATACGTTATTTAGGTGTTATTGTGTTATGAGAATTTTCCTGGTGTTACAATGACACAATAACAAATCAATAACACTTGAATAACATGCAATAACACATGAATAACACACAATAACACCGGGGGAATATTTTTTTATGTTACGGAGCAGATTTTATTTTTTTTAATGTCATCGCCACATAACGTGATTTCATTGGACTCCACACGTAAGTAAGTCCTGATGCAATATCGGGGGTTCAATTCTCCTCTGACACAGTTAACCTTAAGGATGTGGTACTCGAGCCTCTGATGATTTCTCAATGGAGCCGAACATAAAACATGAATTACACATTGAAATCTCAAAAGGCACTTATTAAATTTTACGGAATAATGATAATTGCAATCAAATGAAATTTGACTCATCAATGTTCTATATTAGGTCATGTCATATTGTAACATTTTTTTCTCAAAATGTCCACTTTGACTTCCTTAATAAATGAACAAGTCGTGGTTTCACATGGAAAGACTAAAGAAAAATCTATTCTTTAAGAAATGTAAACCATTGCTTGCTCAAAAAGTATCAATAGACACCCCAAAGCAAGCAACAACTAACCAAAGCCATAACCAGCAGCAGCAGCCATCATATGGAACCGCGACATTAACATCCCAAGGAAAAGCAACGGACAACTAACCAATAACAACTAACCAAAGCCATAACCAGCAGCAGCAGCGACAATAACATCCCAAGGAAAAGCAACGGACAACTAACCAAAGCCACAAGGAGCAACAACCCTCTGCGACACCAATGATCAAAACAGTGAACAACACCATGGTACAAATGCCAATCAATGGAAACCACAAGAACCATTAATAGATTGCCATGCCTACAACAGGATATCAAGGAAAAACAACGAGGAACCAACCAAAGCAACAACGAGCAACAACCATCAACAACTCCAAAATTAAGAACAACGCACATCACATAATCATAAAATCAGACAAACCCAAAATCTTTAGAGTGGCAAAATAAGAATAAACAATAGCTCAACCAAATCCAAACCAATACTAAGTAATTGCAGCTTGAAAGACTAAAGAAATAATATCCCAATAAAATGACACTTTCATTAAATGGTTGAAACAAAATTTCCATCCAAATTTTATGAAAGAGTAAACGATACCAAGATATAATTCCTAACGAATGGTAAAGTCACAGAGCAGAGAATATGTATATCATAGCTAATACCCAACACAACTAGAGATATCATGATACTAATAAAATAAAACCAGAAGAAATATAATGAAAAAAAAAAATCATAAACACTAAAAAACCCCAACAGCTACAAAATTAAAAGATCAAAGAAACTAAACAAGAATATAATTAAATAACAAAAAAACAAAACAAAGAAAAATTAGAAACACAAAAAAAAAAAAATCCGTCAATGAACTAAGGAATAAAAATATTCCTAAGAACAATTGATATTTAATATAAGAAAATAAACAAACAAACAAAACAATAAAAACCAAAGAAAATAAAAACAAAGAAGAAAAATACAAAGAAAATAAAAACAAAGAAGAAAAATACAAAAAGAAGAAAAACAAATATTAAACCATGGGCTACCAAAAGAACAATCTCAAAATCCTCAGAACAAGTAAATTTACGTAGAAAAAACCCTCAGTTAAAGAAAGAAGATCAACCAAACCTTTTAATTTCTAGGTTTTATCAATCAACTGAAGGAGATTCTCATAGAAAGATCTACTGCCTAAAACATAACAAACCAACTTGAGATCACATTGTTTAGATCCAATATCAATCTTCTCATAAGAGAAAACAACCTTATCATCTGCGCAAGACACGTAAGATAAATCAAAAGTAGAAAATTAGATATATTAGAGAAACTAATCCTTTCCAACTTAACACCATCATAAGACCAGAAGTAGAATGGGAAGAAGAAGAACGGAGAGGGGGGAAAGAAGACTCCATGAAGAAAAAGGAGAAAAGCCCCAAAATCCAAAAAAGCAGCAAAAAAACAAGAAAAAGAAAAGAAATCTAAAAGTTTTCCCAAGAAAAGGTAAAAGAAGAAGGAATCTCTATGAAATTTCTGTGAAAACCTTAGGAGCTCGAAGAAACACTAGAGGGTTTTAATAATTGCCAAATGGGCTCCAATGGTCTCGCGAAGCTTGTCCCTTTAGATATTAGAAACTCATATCCACACAACAAATGAATAGAACAAAGATAGTACAAATTAACATGTACAAGATAAAGGAAAAAATCAACAAAAATCATACAAAACAGAGTGGTATCCGCGAACACAAAAATGTGTTAGAAGAATGAAGCTAAACACCATCACCAATGACGAAAAGTGAAACCTTCAAGAATTTCAATAAATATCTTCAAGAAAAAAAGATTCCAACAAAAGCATAAAACTTATTTTTATAACTTTGCTTATTTATATGAAATAAATCATCACAAATAATATCATTATTAGTATGACTATTTAGCAAACTACAACAAAAAGAGATAGCTTCATACAATGTCATTCTGGTAATGAATATAAACATTATTAACATAAATCTCTTTAATAAAATTGGAAGTATGTCTGACTTTAGCCTTTTGATACAAAAATTTAACATCATTCTCTTTCTTAGAAATTCAAGAGCATTTATCTCTTTGTTTGGTCAATTCACCATCGCAAAAAGAAGCATTAGCAATGTTATTTTGAATATTAGAGGCTTGACAAAGGAGATCATTAGAAAGAGGGTGATGATCAAGAAGATTCATAATCAAAGTATGCTTCTTTTTAGGTTGAGCAATATGGTTAAAAAGAGCATTAGAAGAATTCCAATTCCAATCTTTTAAGACATCATTAACATTTCTCAATTTATTACAAACAATAAAAATTCAGTCACCCCAAAAATTCCAAACTGTAGAGACAATAGATAAAAAATTGGGACAAAGACTAATGTAATTCTTATATAAAAAAAATGAAAATACAATTTAGTAAAATTGCACAAGGAAAGAAAAATAGAATGATGATCAGAGGAGTATGCTTCAAAAGCTTTTGAAGAATAATAAGAAAAAACATTATTCCAACTAGTATTACAAAGAGCTCTATCAAGAAGACGTTGAATACGACTATTTAGCTGATTATTAAACTAATTATAAGAATAACATAAATTTGAAGCTCAATAAGAACAACCACAAGAAGTAAAATTATTAAAATCGCAGAATTTACTTGGAGTAAATCATCAACTTTTTTAGTAATTCTAATAATACAATTAAAATCACTAAGAAAAAGCCAATGATCAACCATATTACTGGCCATATCATTGATAGAACTCAAAAGTGTTCTCTTGTTCATAGTATTATTGTCAGCATAAATGAAAGTTACAAAAAAGTAATAGAAGAAGCTTATATAATATTCTCATGAATGAATGGAGGATTAGTATTAATGAAAATAAAGTACAAAACATCCATATTCTACTTAACCCAGATTCTACCATTCTTTGCAAAACTAAATTATTAAAATTGCCTTCACTAACAAAGAATATAAACTTTCTAGAAGCAATGGGATTAGAAGAAACAATATTAGAAATGTTAGTTTTCAAGAGACATAACACATCAAATGCGTGGCCTTTAAATGAATTTTTGAAATCAACAATATGACAAAGATTATTTAGTCCTCTAACATTCCAAGTAGCAATATTAAGAAAAAAACATAAT